CACTGGAGGAGCATGAAAGCACATTACAAGAAGAAGGAGCCTAGGTTATAAGACTCTTCTCTGGAGTTTTTCACAAGCTCTCAGAAAACTCATACAGCCTCATTTGTGGATGATTTTCTGACGCTTAAGTTTTAGACTTGACCAGTAATTTGATTTTTCTGTTATCACTGGTGAGAATGCCATTTTTCATAAATAGATAGTCAAAATGGTACAGACATTTTTAGAGCTATTTCAGAAATTCTTGGAAAGCCTGTTTTAATTACAAGAAAAACCATTTAAAAATTGTGGTGTTTTGAAAGAAAATGGCTCAAAAATGGATTGGCACTATTTATTTTGTTTGACTTTGTTGGATTAGGCGTGGTCTTGTTAGAGGAAGTGTGCCACTGTGTGGGTGGGCTTTGAGGTCTTTTCCCCAAGCTTCACTCAGTGTAACAGTCAGTCAACTTCCTGTAGTCTCTGTCAAGATGTAGCAGCTCCAGTACCATGTCTGTCTGCATGATGCCATGTTCCCTGTCATGAGGATAATGGAATGAACCTCTGGAACAATAAGCGAGTCACTCCAAATAAATGTTTTCTTTTTAAGAGTTGGCAGGTTCACAGTGTTTCTGCACAGCAATATTAACCCTAAGACAAACATCTTTTAATGCAATGCAACTCAACTCTTCAAATAGCAATTTTTAAAATAAAATATTCTTGTGGTGGAGAAAGATTGTTCTGTAGTCACAAGAACTTGCTGCATTTTCAGAAGGCCTGAGTTCAGTTCCTATTGCCCACACTGGGTGGCTCACAACCATTTGTAAGGAATCTGACTCTCCTTTCAGGCTTCCTCAAGCACCTACAACCAGGTGCATGGACACACACTCACATAAATACATGTAATTTAAAGTCTTAAAAAAAATCAAGCATTCTAACTCAATGTAATCAAAAAATATATTAACTTGATATTTACATACTGAAGAATGATGGGATAAGAAAATATTTAAAGTTATTGTTTTTTATAATAAAATCACTATCACTGTGTTTCTAAAGGAGTAGAAAACTTTATCCAATAAAACTACTGGTATTCAGAGCATACAAGTTTCAATTCTGAAAAAAGGTATCTCAGGAAACATTTGTTGCGTGTAGTACATGATGGCTGCTAAAAAGCTCATCTGCTCCTTTAAAACAGTATATTTCATACTGGGGAAATTTCACCTTCCCTTTCTTCCATTCAACCCCTCATGTATGTACCCCCAACTCAAACTTATGACTTTTCTTTAAATAAAACTCAACTATCATATTGTACATGACATGAAATGTATTAAATATATACTTAAATATAATGTATTATATATATATATAATCAAATATATTTCTGTCTATAATGTTATTTGTAGGCATTTTCTTTTAGCTGATGATTTGGTATTACATATGCTCTTCATACATTCTGTCATAGGAAGACTTCTGTTCTCAGCATTCCTCATGTCAGCAGCTCTTTATATAGGATTGAGTCCTCATGAGCCTTTCTCCCTCCATATTACTCTATCTAGAGTTGTCAACTTTTTTCAACTCATGTTTATGCAGTCATGCTGGTGACAGTTTATGGTTGTAGCTTCTATACTACTAGAAGACACAAACTTCCTCTTCTGGCTGTTACAACTTTTCTCTTTCTTCTGTAATGATTCTTAAGCCGTACTTAGGTGCAAGAGTATTGTTGTAGATGTTATCAGTTGGGACTGGGCTCCACAACTCTGTATTTTCATTGTAGTTTTCTGTAATGATATCCATTTGTGCAAAGAGAAGTTTCCCTGATGAGAGGTGAGAACTATAGTTATCTGTATAACATAAATACATCGAATGTAGTTACGTATTTTGCTTGTTTAGTAAAATAGTGATTGTAGGGTCTTCAGATCCAAGATTTCATTAGCCACTGGTAGTTGGCCAGGTTTCCAGTACCAGGCATGGCTTCCTTCTTGTTAAGTGGGCCTAACTAATTAGAGAGCTGTTGGTCACTGCCAAATTATATATGCTGCTACTGCACTGTTAGTGTATTGTGCCATGTTGATCATTGTTGTAGCATATCTGGGTAGGAATTCTAGTTGCTTCTTTCCTTTGAAAGCTTGCTTGTCCTTGTGATTGTATACTTTATTCAATGATTCTTCTTAACCCTCAAAGTATAGTTTGTCTGATGCTCTGAATAAAGTTGGATTTTCACATGAGACTTTAGTCTGCTTCAGTTTTAGGCTCCACTCTCCCATGTTCACGAAGCTAGAGTGGTAAACATGTACCTCCAAGCTCTTGGGTGAGAGAGAATGTGACATTTTAAAGAACTGAACAAACATTGAATTCTCAGAAACTTTGCAGTCAAGTGAGTCTTGCAAGTAGCAGTGTATTGAAAATACCTTAGCATTACTGGTACCTTTGAGTTTGGCAGCTTGCTTATATCTTAACTCTTAGAAGACTATTTTAGTTCAGATCTCTTTTACTGAAAAGCAAAAGGAACACCCAGTGCCACAGTACATCTCCCATTTCCTCCTACATAATTTTGTCCTCTGTGTCTCTAACTAGTAAGAATTTATAAAATATTCTGAGAAGTCATGTGGTATTTCAGTGGGTATTTTGTCTCAGCTTCTCTCTAGTTGGATGAAATAGAAAAATTCAGCTGACAATGATCACACTGTCCTCATATCAAGCACACAAAAAATTAAATATTGTGAAATATGCCAACCAGATTTACTTATGCTCTTAACCACACACAATTAGTGTTACAGTAGAATTTATAAATTGTTAGGAGTTTAACTGATTTTGTGCTACATGTACACACTAACCACCAGAGAAAGAAAGGTCTTACAATTAGTGTTACAGTAGAATTTATAAATTGTTAGGAGTTTAACTGATTTTGTGCTACATGTACACACTGAACATAGTTAATGTAATGCACAAAAATTAAAATTATAATTGAGGTGTTATACAGTATGTGAAAAGCTTGGATGTTCTGTCTAGAGACAGAGCTAATAACTGTTTATGAAGAACACGGTGAACAAAAGTGCAGTTCTCCATGGCAAGTCTATCTGTGGCCAGGACTCTGCAAAGGCAATATACAGTTATTCTTGGTTATAGGAATGAACATTACTTAAATGAGAGCATAGAGAACAGCTATGTCCGAGATCACATAAGTCTCTGCACATTTTCTCCCTGTGGCAGCCAATCAGAAACCTTGCTGATAAGCAAATTATCTGTTACAGAATAAATGATGCTACTTAGATTAATTCCTCTTACTAGTTTACACTCTTTACTAGTTTACACTCTTCTGGTCTATTGTGAAGTCAGTTTGATTTAAAACCTAAAACCAGAAAACTCGAGCTTGGCAACCTTATAAAATTAAATGATATTATACTAGCAGAAAAGGTGGTGTGGCAGTCCCTATGAAATTAGGTTAGTGGGCTTTCCCAAGAGTCACTCCAGAAAATAAACACTGCTATAGTTGTGCCTGTCACTGCTTGTTTGGTACTTCACTCTTCCCAGTAATAGGAGACATTGCACTCTTTACCCTGAAATAGTTAAATTTTCCATCAATCCATGATTCTGGGATTTTGTCCATGTAGACTTTTCACATAGGACTGAAAGGAACTTTATTTGGGCCTACCTGCTCTCCTGTGTCTATTGTTATTGTGAGACTATACCTGGCCTACCCTATTGAGAGTCACAGAAAGTAGCTGTGAATTAGCTCAAGACAAGTTGACCACAGCCAACTTTAAGACCTACAAAGCAAACTAATTTGCAGCAGGCAAATGGAAATGTGTACTCATTTGTAAAATGAAGGGGATAACTCTCAACGTTCCTTCCAGTGATAACTAGGGGCCAAAAAACTTTGGGTAACTAGTGATTCATAACTGAAAGGACTCAGATCATTAATGGTCTAAAAGTGAGGACCACACCAGCTGGTATTGGGGACATGCTGATGATAATTTATCTTCAGTGATGCCTGCATGAAGGTGCTCAGCTGTTGCAGGAGGTCCTCCCATTCCTCCAGCCTATAGCTGCTGAGATACCAGCCCATTGGGGCGTGGTCTCTCTCTCTTCAAAAAAGCGGCCACTTCCCTCTCCTCTCTCTCTTCACTTCCTGCTCCGCAGGCGACTAGACTCCCTTCCTGGTTGCACAGAGGGCTGATGGTGATCTGTAACTTTTTTCCCCTTTAAATAAATACCACCCTATTAATCATAATTCCAAACTGGTGTGGCATTGTTTGTGACTTACGCCTTCACTCAGCTATGAAAGAAGGGCCTGAAAAGCCTGTGTCACAAACTATCTTGAGAGTTCCACAATAGCACATGTTTTTCTCAGGCTTTGATTCTGAGATGGAGTTTTTCCCATAGCATAGACTGGACTTGAACTTAAATCATCCTGCCTCAGCCTGTTGTGTGATTTTCCTGGGAAGATGCAACAGGCACACCTACCACACCCACTCACATCATGTACACACCTAACATCCATACCTATTCATCCCAGAAAGGGAACTCACAACAGACCAATGTATACAATTTGGTGAACCAATGAGATTTTTTTTTTTTTTGGAACCAATGTGTTTTTATTGAAGTTTTTAAGGAATGAGTGAGGAGTTCCTTATGAGAAAGTGAGATATCTCAAAAACAGCCATATAATCAAAAAGCTGAAATACTGGAGTCCTCTGCACAGTTTACAGGCAGATAATCCTAAAATGCTCTCCTTTGCATCTTGGTTGGTCAAAGTCTCCCTTGCCAAGGATCTCTTTACCTATGAAGCTGATAAGGGGCCTTTGAGAATAATCCCAGTTTCTGCTTTCCCAGACATATGGCTTTCTGTCTACCTTTGGAGTTTCATGAGCAGCACTTTCCCTCCTGGAGGGCATGTTTCAATTTAGAGGAAACAGACAACAGTCTCTCAAGGGTAGAGATCAGGTGTATGAAGCACCATACCTGCCCCAAAGCTCATTTATCTACTGGCTTAAACATGGACAAATAAGCCAAGACAGAAGACAGGACAGGAGAAAACAGATTTTAATTTTTAAATACTAGTACATTTCCAGGCTGTTTTGCAAAGAAAAATCATATTACATTAGTTCAAAACTATGCATTTAAGTATATTTATTTAAATTCTAAATTTTACAAACACATAATGAGAGAAATATATATTTTATAAATATCTATTCAGAACAGGAATTGTGAAGTGTTCAAAATATCATACTCAGATTTTTCCTCTGTAAATATATAAAATTCCCATAGACTTCATATGAATTCCTCTTCAAGAGCAAAAATTTTCCTCTTACAAAGGCCAACTCAGTTTTCAGACACAATCAAAAGTAATAATATAAAAAATGGAAACATTCTGTACAGGGGAATACAGATAGCACATAGGTAAATCCCATTACCATTCTTGCCATTTGTGTTTTAAAAATGCTTTATAAAAACGGCCACTTAAAACAAATATGAGAGTCTTTCCCTGACTGTGGAAAACACATAAATTATCACCCTCCCTCTTGGGTGATGAGGCTTCCACTAAAAGGAGCTGGGGAAGAGGAGCCTCCATATATGTTCCCTGAGGAGGGACCTGAGCCACAGAGAGGTAACCCCTCTTCTCTGGCATGAATTCTATCTAGTAGGCCATTCACTGTTATTTCCTTTCATTTAAGAATATTCTTTGGGGTCAAATATATGTCTGAGGGAGTGATCAGATACAGAATCAATTTCTTCCTTGTTGTTTGGCAACCAAAACTCTGGAAGCCTTATTATCTATTACTAATGCCAGAGAAACACCCAGTCACCCGTCTCAGTGCATACCCAAGAGTGTCCCTCTGTCTTCCCTCTTCAGGTCTGAGCTGCTCTGAGCTCTCTCTGCTGCAGTAATTTATCAACTACTGTCTCTTCTGACACTTCTTCTGGAAAGAACTCTTCAGGAAAGTGCGATATACAGGGTCATCCACATACTCATTCTTAAGTCTGGAGCTCAGCACTCTTTGCCTCTTTCTCTCACCTTGGATTACATCTGTCCCATAAAACGTGTCTTCGAATCGCATGTCAGAGGCTGTGGACTAAACGCAAAAGTATATTATTACTGACTACAGAAACACTTGTCACAGATCTGGTTCTGTCAGCTGAGGTCGGATCTGTCATAGGGTAGAAGGAAACACACTCATAGATTTTTATTCGTGCTCAACAGCTCGTTCTCATACAGGCCATATGGCATAGATTTATGACTCCATTTAGTCTTAATTTCTCTACCTTCAAGGTGCTTTCCCAAACAAAAACAAAATTAAAGTCTCATTTTGTATTGGCTGTAAATGAAAACTCCTAAAAGAAAGCTATGTCTCTAGACACTGATGGACTGATTAGAATTTAAATAATAACTGCGGAGAGATTAGAACGCTGCAGGCCTAAAGGCCAATCACTTGTTGCAGTCTTTTAGAACAGGTACACCTTGCCCCTTGTGTTGAAAGTAATATCTTGCAACTCACAGATTAAAACTTTAGGGAATATATTAACTTAGCACACCACTAGCTCCCACCAACCCAAAAGCTAACTATGACATCAGATAGCATCTTGGACCTGTAGCAAAGCTTCTCCCATCTTGCTACATACTTCTCTTACGTACCCATGTTATTTTAAACTTGCCCATAACTTTTATGTATTCTGAAAAACCATAAAACTCCATGAAGCTGGTTCCATGATGTAATATGGAATTTTAGTTACACTAAATCTATATTCTGAGTCATGACCAAGCAAGGTTGCTCCAGAATAATCTGTAATTTCCTTTAGAATGGGAGTTGTAGGTTTTACATCGCTTTCTTAGTCTTAATCTCTACTTGGCTTCTGCCCAAACATTTTTTGGTGGGGAGGTCAACAGTCATTCTTAATTAATTCTGAATTCTATTTCTTTCTTCCTTCCTTTCTTTTTTATTAAGATTTATTTATTGCACATACAGTATTCTCCATGCAGGCATGCTTGCATGCCAGAAGAGAACATCAGATCTCATTATAGATGGTTATGAGCCATCATGTGGTTGGCTGGGAATTGAACTCAGAACCTCTGGAAGAATAGGCAGTGCTCTTAACTCCTGAGCCAGTCTCTCTAGCCCCTGAATTCTATTTCTTGTTCCTTTGTCCCCTCCCTACTTTCTTGAAGCTAGTGTGGGTAATCTTTAGTTTCTAATTCCTATAGCAGTTTTCTGTTGCTTAGCTACCTCACTGGCCACCTGTTTGCTCATTTTTGATGTTCCAGGGTTGTACTGTCTTAACTATCTATTCACCTGGGGGCTCTGCACTATAGTCTTTGCTTCAGCACCTGCACCTACTACAATACAAAGATGATGATTGTTTTTCTCACTGACTTAGATCTCTTGCATCAGGACCTACGAGAACCCTGCAAAGTATGCACTTCAGACCATCTGCTTCAGGTGCTATCTATATAGTCTGTATAAAATAGAACTCAAGGACTTCTTCCACCATCATTGCCCTTCTTAAATTTCCTAAATGCGAATACCATGCTCATCTGTCCAGCTATCCGTCAAAAATTTAATGGCACTGTGGATCCCTCTTATCCCTATCCAGCCAGGAGGTCTCTTCTATATATCTGAAGCAGTCATGATTCTGCATGCAGGATCTCCACTTTCTCCTTCTGAATCACTGCAATAAATGTAGCAGTCCCAATCTATCTCCCATTAAACCACTAGAAAAAAAGTTTTTGAAAAACACTAGTTAAATGATTACAGAGGTGGTACCTGTATGTAATCTTTTCATTTTTTACCTATCCTCAATACAATTTGCCAGACTTTTACAACCTAACAAATCCTACTTCCTTCTCTGAAAAGATTAAAATTTACATTCTGGGCCTCATTTTACTGGCACTGGGTCTGGGATACTTTTCCTACCATAGAAGAGTCTCTGCTACATGAAAGCTGGAAGTTCCTGTGAAAATGAATGCAGGGATAGGCAACATTCATCCCACCACGTGTTCCTTAAGGGTAAAGGATATTAGCAACTATAAATCAAATGTTGTATGTACCAATACAAAGTAATAGGTGTGAAACTTACCTACTGCTTGGTAAGTGCTTAGTGAAAAGTATAGGTTATCGCTGAGATACTCAGGTAAAGACCAAACCTAGAGTCTATACTAAAACACCAATTTTAGTTCCTGATTCAATACTGTTTTGGCATCTAGAATATGTTTTCCACTGGTTCAAGTCAGGCGTATGATTTTTTCGAAAGATAGCAACACACATATCTTATATTGGTAACAAAGTAGACAGACTCTTAGGAGTTGAAAACAAAAAGGTCCATTGTGAAAACAATGACAAGAAAAAGAACTGAGCAGACATGAGGAAGCCTGGAAACTGGAAATGGTTCAGGTTGACAGCTGTGTATATTTTCTGCCCACCATCTCATGAAGCAGTTATACAGAGTGCCAGACTATCTATAGGTTCCATAGAAAGTCCCATATTTCACTTGGGAAGGAAATTTAGAAGTTGTGCATTGGTTGTCTTTCTGTCATCAGGAGGAAACATTGTTTTAGTAACTCTTGGAAAGCACTTCCTCTGACTTATATTTCACTTTTATAAGTGTTAATGTAATCAAATGAGGAAATAAAACATCTACTGCCACTGTGCAGAAACAGCAGAAGTCAGCCTCTTAAACACAATAGTAAAGTCAATTTACCAGGAGGTCTAGTTAATTATGCAATGGTTACCATGGTTACTTTATGAGACAATAAAAGGTAATGGGCTGTTTCTGAAGACAGTAGAGAACAATCCAGCACTGTCATTAGTGGCTGGCTGACTCTCTTAAAACATATCCCTCCAAGTCAGAAGAATTCGAGGGAGAAAAAGTCACTAAAAAGTCACTCTCAATGATAACAGCTGCTTATCAATCTTCGTCAAGCCAAAAATATTCTCTAACCATAAAATATCTTCTATCAATGAGCTTTCCAATAAGATTTGACTCCCCAGGTGGAAAAGTATATCAGTCGAGGGGGAGAGAGCCTATTGTTCTTTTTTTAAATTAAAATGTTCTCAGAGTGTGCAGGTCTCCCATTGGGTAAACAGCAGTACTGACAATGTCTCTTCTCTTAACCTGAATTTATTTTTTATTTTTTATTTTTTTTAATTAAAAATTTCTGCCTCCTCCCTGCCTCCCATTTCCCTCCCCCTCCCCCCACTCCTGAATTTTTAAAGTCCTTCCTCTGGAAGTGCTGCTGAAAGAGAACTCACCTGCTTTGGGTTCCCTGTCATCAGGATCTCACCCAACAAAAGAAGAAAATACTCAATTTTCCACTTATAAAACCCCTTGGTTTTCCAAAATAACTAACTAACCTATCATAACTCTGTCATTGTACTGTAAGAGGACATAATCATAAGAATGGATGAAAGAGAGTTAAATTTACTCAGAAAAATTAACTTGTCTATTACAATTTATCATTTCAGGAAGGATACAGATAAGAGTCTAAATGAGTAAAATAGACTTCATTTTGGGCTATATTACAATACTATGGAACCTACAGTATTATAAAATATATATTTAAAAAAATCAGACTTTAAGCCATCCATGTTTACTTTTAGTGGTATGCAGTGGACTTGAAAGTATACCCAAGGGTGTGTGTGTGTGTGTGTGTGTGTGTGTGTGTGTGTGTGTATTTATTATACCTCTTTTAGTTTTCTAACTACTAATATTCTGGCTTTCCTTTGTTGTTTTCCAAGTGAGAGCTTGGAAAGAAGCATCACTGAGCGTGAGACACAGAACTTCAACAATACATGATAAGGTTACTAGACACCATTCGCTAATGCTGACTCTCTTAAATCTACTGCTGAATACTTTCTTTTAACATAGTTCCCACTAAGAGTGAATACCTTCATATTTGTTTGTCCCCAGAGGGACAAAGGACAAGTTTAATAACCATAATTGTGTGTCAATAAATTTTAACACAAAGAACTGTTTGTTTGTTTGATTTCATTAGAAGAAAAATAAGCCATGTGCGCACTGGTTTTCCTCTTTCTGTCTAAGCGGAGACTTGCATTCAACAGGTTACAACAAAGGGAAAAATTACTTAGGCTTTCTTCAAAATTAATCAAAATCCCAAGGTTGATTTCTTCTGGAATTGGGAAAGCATAGAGAGCATGGGGACTTCATTGGGGGTCCCAAAGCAGCAATTGTCATTAGCACTTACAAAGCGAGCCTTTACCCTTTTGGGTAACTCTTCATCTAAAGTGTATATGTCTTCTCTCTTCATTGCTATCTGGGATCCATCTTCAAATTCAACCTAAAGAAACATAAGACATTGTGTTATTTAGTAAAACCAAGAGTACTGACCTTTTCTCAGGAGTTTCAATTAAATATGAAAAAAAAAAAGGAGTAAAGGACTGTAATAGAGCAAATACAGAACCAGCCAAAGTCAGGGAAGTTGGAAAAGCATTTTTTCTTATCCAACTAATGTTAAACAGGACAGACTTGAAATATGAGCTATGAAATCTTTATCATCCCCAAATCTAAAGAAGAAAATATGAGGGCTGATCAGATGATTTCTGAGAAATAAACAAAAATCAAACCAAACTAAACCAGACCAAAAACCTCCCCACAATCATCTGGTCAGTAAAAGGACTAGTGAATAGACTGCCTCATAACAAATAAAAATGCTCAGTAAATAATTAAGAATTGTTCAATATTCTGAGGTATAAGAAAGCAGAAATTCAAACAACTCTGAGATTCTTGTTTAATTGGAATGGTTATTAGCAGCAAACAAACAAAAAAAAGAAGTGCTGGTGCGGATGTGGCGAATGTAAAACCCTTATATTCTGCAGGTAGAACTCTAAACTGCTACAACTACTTTGGAAAGCAGTATAGAGGTTTCTTCCAAATCTAAAAACAGAACTATCATATGGTCTATCACTCCATTCCTAAGTGCATCTCTGAAAGACTAAGTCAACCTTCCACAGAGATACTTGCACATCCATGTTTGTGAACCATTCAAAATAGTGATGAAATGGAACCACATTAGATATACACCAGTAAACAAAGAAAAGGGGGTAAGCACATAAAAAGGAATTTATTCATTATAAACAAAGTAAAATTGTGTCATTTCTAGGAGAATGGGTGATACTGGACATTACTGTGTTAAACGAAGAAACCCAGACTCAGGCAGACAAATATTGAATATCCAATACTATTTAAAATAATATTTAAAAATAAATTTAAATTTATTTTTGTTTGGTGTGTGTGTGTTGATAAAGCTGAAAGGGAACTATAAGAGATAAAGAGGGTATCTTAAAGGAATGGGAGAATGGGGGAGAAAGGGTAAAAAATTAATAAGATATAAGATCAGAAGGGGGTTCTTTGGTGGATGTAGGGGGAAAAAAGCAGAAGACAGGAATAGGGGAGCAAGTAAGAACAAAATGGCATGTTTCCATAAAGTGGCAAAATGAATCCATTACTTTGCATGCTAACTTTAAAAAGTAGTTTTAGTTTCAGGAGGTCCCATTTATTAATTGTTTCTCTCAGTGTCTGTGCTGCTGGGGTTATATTTAGAAAGTAATCTCCTGTGCCAATGCGTTCAAGTGTACGTTCCACTTTCTCTTCTATAAGGTTCAGTGTGGGTGGCTTTATACTGAGGTGCATGGTGCATAGATATGGGTCTATTTTCATTCTTCTACATGTTGATATCCAGTTATGCCAGCACCATTTGTTAAATATGCTTTCTTTTTTCCAATTGAAATTTTTTGCTTCTTTGGCAAAAATCAGGTGTTCGAAGGTATGTGGATTAATATCTGGGTCTTTGATTTGGTTCCATTGGTCCTCCTGTCTGTTCTTATGCCAATACCAGGCTGTTTTCAGTACTGTAGCTCTGTAGTAGAGTTTGAAGTCAAGGATTGTGATGCCTCCAGAAGTTCTTTTATTGTACAGGAATGTTTTGGCTATTGTGGATTTTTTGCTTTTCCAGATGAAGTTGAGTACCTTTCTTTCGAAGTCTGTGAAGAATTTTGCTGAGATTTTGATGGGCATTGCATTGAATCTGTAGATTGCTTTTGGTAAGATTGCCATTTTTACTATGTTAATTCTACCTACCCAAGAGCATGGGAGATCTTTCCACTTTCTGTTGTTTTCTTCAATTTCTTTCTTTAAAGATTTAAAGTTCTTGTCATACAAGTCTTCCACTTGTTTGGTTAGAGTTACTCTGAAATATTGTATGCTATTTGTGGCTATTGTGAAGGGTATCATTTTTCTGATTTCTTCCCCAGCCCTTTTATCTCTGTACAGGAGGGCTACTGGTTTCTTTGAGTTAGTCTTGTATCCTGCTACATTACTGAAAATGTTTATGAGACGTAGAAGTTTCTTGGTAGATTTTTTTGGGACTTCTTATGTAAACTATCATATCAAAGTAAACAGTGAGAATTTGACTTCTTTTCCGATTTGTATCCCCTTGATCTCCCTTTGGTGTCTTACAGCTTTAGCTAGGACCTCAAGAACTATGTTGAATAGATATTAAGAGAATGGACAACCTTGTCTTGCTCCTGATTTCAGTGGAATCTCTAGGAGTTTCTCTCCATTTAGTTTGATGTTGGCTGCTGGCTTGCTGTATATTGCATTTTTTATGTTTAGGCATGTTCCTTGTATCCCTGCTCTTTCCAAGACCTTTATCATGAAGTGATGTTGTATTTTGTCACAAGCAATTTCGGCATCTAAAGAGATGATCGTATGGTTTTTATTTTTCAGTTTGTTAATATGGTGGGTTACATTGACAAATTTTCGTATGTTGAACTATCCCTGCATCTGTGGGATGAAGCCAACTTGACTATGTTGGATGATTCTGATGTGTTCTTGGATTTGATTTGCCAGTATTTTATAAAATTTTTGTATCAGTGTTCACGAGTGAGATTGGTCTGTAATTCTCTTTCTTAGTAATGAAAAGCTTCTGTAAAGCAAAAGACACAGTCAGCAAGACCAAATGACAGCCTACAGAATGTGAAAAGATCTTCACTAACCCCACATCAGACAAAGGTCTGATCTCCAAAATATACAAAGAACTCAAGAAATGTGTCATCAAAAGAACACATAATCCAATAAAAAAAAATGAGTGCAGACCTAAACAGAGAACTCTCAACAGAGGAATCTAAGATGGCTGAAAGACTATTTAAGGACATGTTCATCATCTTTAGTCATCAGAGAAATGCAAATCAAAACAACTCTGAGATTCCATCTTACACCTGTAAGAATGGCCAAGATCAAAAACACTGATGACAACTTATGTTGGAGAGATTGTGGGGGAAAGGAAACACCCGTGCATTGCTGGTGGGAATGCAAACTGTTACAGTCCCTTTGGATGTCACTGTGGTGATTTCTCAGAAAATTAGGAAACAACTTTCCACAAGACCCAGTAATATCACTTTTGGGCATATAGCCAAAAGATGCTCAATCATGCCACAAGGACATGTGCTCAACTATGTTCATAGCAGCTTTGTTTGTCATAGCCAGAACCGGGAAACAACCTAAATGCCCCTTGACCGAAGAACGGAAAATGTGGTACATTTATACAATGGAGTACTACACAGCAGAAAATATAACAAAATATCTTGAATTCTGCAGGAAAATGGATGGAGCTAGATAACATTATTTTGAGTGAGGTAATTCAGATGCAGAAAGATAATTATCACATATACTCACTCATAGGTGGTTTTTAAACATAAAGCAAAGAAAACCAGCCTACCAACCACAATCCCAGAGAATGTAGACAACAATGAGGACACTAAGAGAGACTTACATAGATCTAATCTACATGGGAAGTAGAAAAAGAAAAGATCTCCTGAGTAGATTGAGAGCATGGGGTCTTTGAGAGAGGGTTAAATGGGGAGGGGAGAGGCAGGGAAGGGAGCAGAGAAAAATGTAGAGTTCAATAAAAAAAAAATCAATAAAAAAGTAATTTTAAAACAGAAGTTAAGAGTTAATACTCTATAAGAACATAAAGCTATTTATCTGGGAAAATTACTACATAATAACAAAAAGCATCATTTCTTCCTCAGAGCTGAGACATTCTCCCTGAGTCATTCACTCTGCACATTGTCCTGCTGTAGTTCTCTGTTGTCATCTACTGCAAGAAGCTTCTCTGATTAGGATGAATGATACTCTGCTTGATGGGTTTAATGTCATTAGGAGTCATTTTATTGCTATGTTCCTTAGTAGAATAATGATCTGTCTAGGCTCAGGTTTTTGGTATTTTAGTAGTGCCAGGTATGGGTTCCATCTCATGGAGCAGACGTTAAATCAAATCAAAAGGTGATCAGTTTCTCCTAAAACATTTGTGTCATTATTGCACCAGAATACGTTGCAGACAGGTTGATGTAAGTCACAGGGTTTATAGTTGGATGATATCCACGATTACTTTTCTCCTCTGGTAGTGTAAAGAGTACTTCCCAGTACTATGAATGCTATTCAGTAGGGGTGAAGCTTCTAGTTGAGTATTGACTTTATTTTTTCATGTTTAGTAATAGGGTCTTATTATCAGATTGCAAAAAATAACCAATAGCTCTCTTTGGCAATAGCCTGTCATATTAGTGTGTGTCAGGTGTCTACAAGTTGCCTTTGGCCAATGACTCAATAAGATGTAACCAATTTCTGGTAGTGGATGTTCTACTTGGTGAAAGATGTCTTTATTTGGTTGTTTTACATGTCTAGTTGGAGCACTATCTTCATTACAAGATTTTTGTCTCCATTTTGCACACATACACACACACATGCACAAATACAAAAGTATCTAAAATAGCATATTTCCATATAGGTTTTAAAAAGGACTCCCCTCCTACATTCCCTCGTTTACCCTGCCCTCTATAACCCATTTACTCCTCTAATTAAATTTACTTCCTTATCTCTTTAGAACATATATTCTATTTCTAATTCCTGGAGAGATTCTTTCCTTCTCCCAGATGCTTATGAGGAACCTAACTTCTGTGGTTATTAGAATACCAAAATCTTAAAAGCTAACATCCACATGTAAGAGAAAATATGTGATCTGGATCATGGTACTCAAAATTTGGGATGATTATTTCCAGCTTCATCCATTTACCTACATTTTTTGGGGGGAGAAGGCTCTGGGTGACCTGTCTTTAGGTGAGAGTGGGATACTAATGTCATCCATAACACTGTGTTGGATTCACATGTGATTTCAGCTATATACTGTTTCTTTTAGGAACTTGGATACTCTTGGTTTGGTGCATAAATGTTTAGAATTACAATATCTTCTTGGTGGATTATTCCCGTGATACGTATATAATG